GTTCACTCGAGTACGAAATGCAACCTCGTTTCCCCGCGCCCGGGCTAACTCCTATTCCGGACACAATAGCTATGCATGACATCATGAATGCAACTAAGATACAGCCCTAGTATGCCGCTATGCTATGAATGAGATGCCTCGAAAATGCGTGCACACGGGCATTCGAACCGAGGCAATGGCATATGCAATGCGATATGGCTAAAATGGGCAATATAGAATGCAACATGGACTTATACTAACATGAGAGAACGCCTTCAGCCACACTCACATAGGAGGGCCGATGGATAAAATGAAGCGCTCGAAATGCGTGCACCGGCCACGCAAACCGAGGCGATGGCATATGCCAATGCAATGGCATGGAAAAGATATGCAAACATTGCTAATAGGAATTCAGCACTGAAATGTGGGAAAACGGCCCTGAAACGAGGCGAAAGTACACCCGATGCATGGAATAGTCCCGAAACAGTGAATTTTTGGCACCCGAAATGGCCTATAGTATCAAACATGCACAATATGGACACGGCAATGAATAATAACAAGTAGCAAGGCAAGTCCGCAAAATCAGTATTTTTCAGTTCAAAGCCCCTGGCAAACAGGAAAACCCAAATAGGGCAAAAATGCATGCAACCTGGCCCTAAATATGAGTAACGAAGCAACTCACATGCTGTCTGACCCCAACAAGATTAGGGGCCTTCTACAGTATTGAATAGGGGCAAAAATATGAATCTTTTTAAAGTTTATGGAAAACCACAAAAAACCAGCACAAGTATAGCTAAACTCTCATGCAAGAAATGGGCAAAAGATGGCCAAAGCACAAGTATAACTATAATCCATCAAAACAAGCCAAAGACCTTAATGAAAATGAATAATGGGCCAAATAAGACAATTTTCAGTTCTGTAAAAAATGACCAAAAATAGAAGCACAATAGGCTGGCCAAAACATGCAAGAAAACGGGGACCAAGAGAGATATAAATGAAGTGGCATATGGAGGTCCCAAACCTGAACAGGACCTTTATGAACATTGAATATGGGCCAAAATGACATTTCAGTGCTGTAAATGACCAAAAACCGAAGCATAAATAGGCTGCCAAAACATGCAAAGAAAAAGGGGACCCAAAGAGATATAACATGAAGTGGCATATGGGAGGTCCCAAACAGTGATGAAAGCCCTTCTTCATGTTGAAGAGGGGCTCAAAATAATCCTATTTAGAGTTTTACATCATACTCCAAAAAAAGATCACACATAGGCTAAAAATACTACGCCAAGATAACGGTATTTAAAGATGGATATTGAAGCAAGTGCAATATGGGGCCTCAAACAGTTTTGAGACCTTAAGAAAAAGTGAAAAAGAGCTCAAAAAAATGCCACTTTCATTAGGGCCGGGAGCTCAAACAGCAAGATGTATGATACAAATGATGGCAAAAACAAGCAAAAAAGGGGAAATGGTACCTCACACTTGAGACAAGTCTTTGATTGCTTCCTTGGCTTGAAGAAGTGGTGCTCTCGCTGCGGAAGCCCCAAACTGCTGGAAATGGAGTAGTGGTGGTTGGTGCTTGGGGTGATGAAGAAATGAGGTTAGGACTGGATGTCTTTGCTTCAAAGAGAGAGAATAGCAGGGAGATGTATTATGAACTTGAAGGCAATTTTCTAACCCTTACAACAAATGTTTGGAGCTGGTTATATGGACCAAGGAGAGGGAAAGCAATGGAGGGAAAGGGTGGGGGAAAAGGACCAAGGTCCCTCTCCCCTAAGGCTGGTCCCCCGGATTGTAGATATTTTGGGGGACAACAGCTATACAGCTGTAAAGTACATATTGCAAGATGAGAGCGGCCAACTTTTCAAGCTGCAAAGGGCCGGCGCCGGCCACCTCCCATGGCGCCCGGCCAGGGGTCAAAAGGGTCAAGGTGATTTAATGCCGACACCATAGATAGGTGTCCCTCCATGTGTCCTCAACACCCTCTGTGGTTCAAAATTGCAAACTGTAAAACAGGAGAGAGAATAGGGCCATTTCTAGGAGGGGTTCAAAAGGGTCAGGTGAATTAAACTGGCCAATCCCACAAACTTTTAGGGTCCTCCCAATGTGTGTACATCAACCAATATGTGGTTAAAGTTTCAAGAAAAATGGCCCAAGGTGTTAAACATTGGGCTCGGAAAGTGAGAAAAAACACGGGCGTCGGAGGGTGCCGGAGGATATATTAACTGGTTGCTGAACAATTGCTGCCTCCCACCCTTCTACGGTCTTCCTAGTGTGAAACAGAGTACCTGTCAAAACAAAAACTGATGCAAACGAATGTTCGGTGGGCCAAAAACGCGCAGTTCGGGGCTCGAATAACTGCCTGTTAAGCACCGAAAGTGGCATCGACCAACGAAGTGGGTCTCTTAGACCTCAGTGTCCTTCAAAAGGGAGAAAATAAGATGCATGCTAAAACTTGAGAATAGGAGGTGTTATAGCGGTCTCGAACCGAGGCACACGGCCCTGACGGCTCCGAAACCGAGAACCGGGCCCAAATGGGCCAAATGGCCTATGCCACATGTAGCCCCGGCCACTGATGAGATGGTCTACGGGACCTCTCCCCTCATTAGTATATTTGAGATGATTTTTTGACTTTTTACGAAAAGATGTACAAAAAGTAGAAAGAAAAGAGAATCTTTGACTTTTTGATATAGATTGTTAGCTTTTGACTTTTTTAATAATTTTTTGACTTTTTTGTTAAAAAAAAATCACTTACGAAACGAGGCCTTAATTGCACACAATCATCTATCTATTTACTTATTTTTTTATTTCTAATATATTTTTTTTATAAAAAAATAAAATATATACTTATTTAAATTATCTCAAAAGTCTTACATCACCTGCAGTGCACGGTCACCAGAAAATGGCATTGTCAGATTTTGACAAGTCAGAATGCCAGAAAATATTGCATCTCCGGCATCTAAAATCTTTTAGATTCGCCGGCGGTGATGATTATTGTTTGAAGAAGAGATGATTTTAAGCTTCGAAGCCATCATTTTCATGTTCGTCATCGTCAGATCTCTCATTAGGAAATGACTTCATTTCATAGCGAATTTCAAGGCTCAGAGAAGATTCGTGGAGCGTCACGTGCTTGTCACAAGGATCAATTTCGGTGATCGGACGAAGAAGATAAATGGAGGACGCCCTGAGAGTGGAGCTAGGGCTTCTAACCAGATATTCGAGAGATTTCAATTTCTTCGGCGTGTATGACGGATGTGGAGGCTCACGTGTCCCGCACACTTGCCGTGACCGGTTACACCGGTTACTGATGAAAGAGATTTAAAAAGAGAAAGATGAAATGGAGTGAAAATGACATTGTTAGATTGGCAAAAGGTGATGGTGGGGTGTTTTGAGAAGATGGATAAGGAAGTGAGTGATTGTGGGAGGGCAGCGGCGTCGCATAGTGCAGCTGCGTTGTCAGAGGTGACGATAGGTTCGACTGCGGTGGTTGGAGAGGAGGAGATCGTGGTTGCGAATTGTGGCAATTCGAGAGTTGTGCTGTCTCGAGGAGGTGTCGTAATATCTTTGTCTGATGATCATAAGGTAATTTGAATAGTATAATTTTGATCCTAATAGAGATCGTAGGCTAGTAGGTGCCAACCTAATTGGGATGTACTTGACCTATAGTGATGCAATTGTTCTACCATCATTTGTAATCTACACCTAATTTATTTAATAATATCAATTTTTTAATATTTTATTTCATTTTGAAATAAAAATTATTCATTCAATAAATGTTATACAAATAATTTAATATTGTAATATTAAAATTTTTATTTTCATATATATAAAATTATTTATTTTGAAAGAAAAAAATTACATAATTGCAATTTTTTTTAGTTATAAGTTCATAATTAAAAAAATATAAGTCATACATAATTAAATTTAAATATCACCATGAAACATTACATAACCAAACAAAACATCTCATTAATCTTAACTAAAATACTCTAGTATAATTTCTTTTTAATTTTTTATTCCTAATATATATTTTAAAAAAAAGCCTGACTAGGCCCAGCCCGCTGCCTAGGCCCTAGGCCTTATTATGAGTGGGCTTGGACTTGGGCCTGGGCTCCACTTTTTGGACCATGAACTGACCTGGCCCACTAAAAAAAAGGGAACCCGCGAAGCCCGCTTGGGTCGGCCCAAGCCCGAGCCCAGATGGGCCAGGCCATTATTACATCCTTAAGCAAACCACACATCCAGACTTCTCTCGTGGTCCTCATTTCACAACTCACAAAATATCTCCCTACCGAACCAAATCTCTTTGCCCGCAATCCGAACGCCACGTGCTACATTTCCTTAATCGCAGCCACACACGTTTCCCGCTTAAAAATCCACTGCACGATTTCCCACATTTAGTCCAAGTGGTGACAATCTAAAGCGGCTGGGATTTAAAACCTTCTCATTGCTCTAAATTTTGAATCACACCAAACTCATTGTACAAAACTATCAAATTTATCATTAAATTTAAATTTGGTAAAAAAAATTACTTTTTGTTGCTTCAATAGTTCATCAAATTTATCATTAAATTTAAATTTTTTTTAAATCTTTCAACAAACTAAGGATCAATATACTGCTTATCAAATCACTATTTATTACTATTGGATTTTCACCACCGGATGTCCCCGAATCACCACCTCAAGGCAAAAATTTGTGAAAAAACTACACTGGTCAGTCGTCTGCCCTGTCAACCCATGGTTTGATAAAGCTCCGTTAGAACATTTGATATCAAAGGAAGTTTTTATTCAAATTTGGTAAAGAAAGAAGAAGATAAAACATTGGAAATGGTTCATCAAATTTTTACTCAAAAATATTTATTTATTTTTATGTTTTATAAGTATTTTTTTTATAAAAAAATAAAATATATACTTATTTAAATTATCTCAAAAGTCTTACATCACCTGCAGTGCACGGTCGCCAGAAAATGGCATTGTCAGATTTTGACAAGTCAGAATGCCAGAAAGTATTGCATCTCCGGCATCTAAAATCTTTCAAATTCGCAGGCGGTGATGATTATTGTTTGAAGAAGAGATGATTTTAAGCTTCGAAGCCATCATTTTCATGTTCGTCATCGTCAGATCTCTCATCAGGAAATGACTTCATTTCATAGTGAATTTCGAGGCTCAGAGAAGATTTGTGAAGCGTCACGTGCTTGTCACAAGGATCAATTTCGGTGATCGGACAAAGAAGATAAATGGAGGACACCCTGAGAGTGGAGCTAGGGCTTCTAACCAGATATTCGAGAGATTTCAATTTCTTCGGCGTGTATGACGGATATGGAGGCTCACATGTCGCGCACACTTGCCGTGACCAGTTACATGGGTTATTGATGCAAGAGATTTAAAAAGAGAAAGAAGATATAGAGTGAAAATGACATTGTTAGATTGGCAAAAGGTGATGATGGGGTGTTGAGAAGATGGATAAGGAAGTGAGTGATTGTGGGAGGGCAGCGGCGTCGCATAGTGCAGCTGCGTTGTCAGAGGTGACGATAGGTTCGACTGCGGTGGTTGGAGAGGAGGAGATCGTGGTTGCGAATTGTGGCAATTCGAGAGTTGTGCTGTCTCGAGGAGGTGTCGTAATATCTTTGTCTGATGATCATAAGGTAATTTGAATAGTATAATTTTGATCCTAATAGAGATCATAATGTTATATAAATTATTAAAATCTAAAATTGTTTCTAGTTATACATCACTATCAATTTTAAAACTTCTAAAAATTTGTTAATGTGATCATGAATGAGAGATTTTTATTCTTTGAATGAGTCATGATCTTATTGTGTTAAGTTTTTTAAGGGAAATAAAACAAACAAGAAATTGATAAAAAAAATGATGAACACTAATTTATATAGTTGAGCACGTTGTGTGTATGCCCATGAACCCAAATGTCAGTCAGTTACAATGTATTTGATTCACTCAAATAATTTACATACACGAAAACACATATATTTATAGCCAAAGAATACAATCATATCTTGTAATTATAGGGATTAAGCCAAATCAATGATCCAAATTCAAGCCACAAATCATGCATTTGATTTGAGTAAATTGAAGAATCAGTTAATCTAAAAGGACAGATTGCATCAATACTCTACACCCATAAACTTATCAAGATATCAATATGTTGGTTTTGATGAATCAGACGTTCTATATATATATATATATTTATAAAGAAGATATCAATATGTTGGTTTTGATGAATCAAACGTTCTATATATATATATATTTATAAATATTTGTTTTAATCTTCAACTTATTTCACAATTATAGACTATTTTTGTTGATATGATCATTTTTTTGCATAGCCTAATAGACCTGATGAGTTGGAGAGAATCAAAGGTGCTGGTGGAAAGGTTATAAACTGGAATGGGCATCGAGTTCTTGCTACGTTGTTGTGATTTATAGATTTATTTTACAATTTCATTAATACATAGATCATACATGTTTCCCAACAAATCACATTTCAATCGAGATCAGGGTTATACTTTATTTTTAGGCCTGTCTAAAAACAAATAAAAAATTCAAAATCTGCCCATTTGACTTAGATATTATTTAATATATTTTTTTATATATTTTAAAATAAAAAATATAATTAGTTTAGTGGCAAATTTATTTTTTGTTTTGTTGTTTAGTTAGGATGGCCCTTTGAAGTCTTATTTATGCACTATTGTTGTTTTATTAATATAATGTTTCTCATGTTCTCATTAAAAAAAACAAAAAAAAAGTTTGTTTAACCTACTCAAAATTAGTAGTTTAAATTTTTTAACTAATTCTCTTACATGACTAGTAATACATAATATATGTCTATAAGAAACGAAAGCTAAACAATGTAAAACATATAAATAATATATATATATATATATATTTATAAAAATGTATTGTCCAATATTATTTGTGGGTGGGCCTGGCCAGACTAGGTTTGAAGTACTTTTCTAGACCTGACTACATAATAATCAGGCATAAATAATTGGGCGTATTATGGACCCCTCTCTCTTTTGAGACTTATTACTCATTAAAGTCTTGACTTTTTATGTAGATATAAGTCCTGACCCGTTATTTATTTATTTATTTATTTATTTTTACGCTTGAGTGTTTTGTATTGCCCTAAATAATATTTTGTTCTCTCTAATCCTCTACCATATATGCCTACTCTCTCTCTCTCTCTCTCTCTCAGATACACACAAAGAAAACTCTTCTCTCTTTCTCTCTCTCTCTCTACCATTTCTCTAAACAGTTTCATACCACCGCCACCACCATCGTTGCCATGGTCGCCTTCAACGTCGGTCACTTCAACCATGGACATCCTCCGTCGCCTTCAACGCTACTTGCCTCAACCACCACCATCCTTCATTGCCTTCAATGACGCTCGGCTCAACCATAGACACCGTCCTCTTTCTCCCTTATCGTCGTTATCCTCCTCCCTTCTCGTCGTCGTCTTCCCTCCTTGCCGTCTTCATCGCTTTCTTTACAACAACCCTCCTCTCTCATTGCCATCATTGCCGCTGTTATCATCCTTCTCTTTTATCATCGGTCTACTATATTTGATGTCGTTGCCACCATTATCCTCCATTATAGATCTATTATTTTCTATGCCGATCTTCAGCAAAATCTTTAGATGTGGCCATTTCTAACGCCAATTGACTGCTTTAACATGTCGATCTAGTATCATAACCCTCGTCAACATTGAGTCTCTTTGTGAACTAGATCTACTGGGCATAAAAATTGAAAGAACCAGCCTGAATAAAGTCATCAGTTCAGTGATAAATTTATCACTTTTATGCATGTGCATTTTTTTAATCTATATATAAATTTTTGTAGCCATAATCTGGTATTTGATTACTGTGCTTCATGATAGAATATTGTGATGCCCCCCTCTCTCTCTCTCACACAAATTAAATTTGTTACTTGTAAATTTTTTAACAAATTCACCAGTGATAAATTTATCACTGGAAAGAAGACAGAGAGCAAATGGCAAAGGTATGATTATGTTGATCTACGACACAGAGGAAAAATATTTTCTGGTAAGGCCTTTCATTATCTTTTTCATCCTCTTCATTTCTCTCATTTTTCTTCTTCTTCTCCTTCTTCTATTATTTTGTCGCCATTAGATTTAAGGAAGTAGTGACGTTAGTGATGTAGCACTTGTGTCCTTTAAACTATTGGAGAGTGTATTTAATTCCTTTATTTTCATTTTGGGAGTCTTTGGAGTTATTGTATTTTGGTTTTGGAGGAGTATGATTCGGTTTAAACTTGTGGGGATTGTTTGTTCGCACTTGTTTACGTTGAAAAGTTCTTTGGGAACTTGGAAAATCTGTTCTGGTGTCGACACTAGCCTTTCTAAGGGTCAACACCACCTTGCTGCCATGTCCTTAGTGTCTTTGCTGGTTTTTAAGGTCGACACCATGACCTCTCTTTATAGAGCTTTTTGTCTTGTAAAGCTTACAAGACAAGCTTCTAAAGAGAGAGATCCCTCCATACACGTGCATGGAGGGGAGCCAAATGCAAGACAGCTGTGATAAAATATCTGCAAAAGCAGATGCACAGTAGTCGGCCGGCCAAAAATGCCATTTTGGCAAAAGGGAGTGCCGACCGGCAACTAACAGTGCCAACCGGCAATATACATTGCCGATGGCAGCAAAAACCAGCCGGTGGCCTCTGGCCATGGCCGGTGGTGTGTGGGGATGCCTCACAAGGCATTCTCTGCCCCTCCAAGGCAAAATGCAAGTGTTTGGTGCAAAACCAGACACTGAACAGTCGAGTTCGGAGATCCTGAGGCAGGGCGCGTAGCCGAGACCTTCGGGAACTCCAAACGAACACAAACAAGGATAATCACCGAATGTTCAAACGGTGACGTCCAAGTCTTGAGGACGGTCAAAAATGGGGTGTCTACACATACTGTTTAGCTTTACCGTCGTAATTGTTCGAGTTTCATGACGTGTTTCATATTAGTATGCTTCGGAAGTACGAGCCGGATCCGTCACATGTATTGGATTGGACCGACTTAGAGGTAGATGAGGATGCCTTGTATGAGGAGAGGCCGGTACGAGTCTTGGATAGGCGGGAATAAATCTTGCGAGGCAAGACGATTCCTTTGGTAAAAGTCTTGTGGAAACATCACGGAGTGGAAGAAGCCACTTGGGAACATGAGTTGGAGGTCCGTGGGAAATATCCGGACTTGTTTGTTAATGTTTAGCCATGTATTGGAAATTTTATGTCTTGATGAAATCTAAAAACATTGTATATGTTTTAAGTTATAAAACATTGTTTATGTTTTGATTTATGGAAGTATTGTTGAATATGCCTTGAAAATGGAAGTTTAAATTTAACATTGTATATGCTGAAAATGTTGTAGAGATGCAAATATATCATTAACATTGAATATGTTATGAAATTGTGAAGCATGTATATTGGGACTTGTTGAAATTCAAAGGAATGTATGTTGATAGTGCATGTTGAAAGTTCTGTTGTAAGTTGCCTCTTGAAAAGAGATGGAATGACCGGTAATGGGTTAATATGATTGAATATTGAATTGTAATATTGTTGAGAATTGAGAAATCATGTTTTTGAAATTAATTTATCTAATTTCGGGGACGAAATCCTTTAAAGGGGGGAGGTTATAGCGATCCCAATTTTCCTTTCATTGTTTAATTGTATTTCGGACTCGGTTCCGTGAATGTTTGTTGTAATAACCAACATTCATGTCCTAGTCATGTTCATGTGCATTTGCATGATTTTGTCTTGTTAAGCTTGCATTTGTTGACTTTGACTTGTTTTGCCTAAGTAAAGGTCCCTGTCTTGTTTTGTGCTTATGTGATTTGCCTAAGTGTTGTATGCATGCTTTGTTCCTTCCTTGCTATCTCAAGCATACGTCATGTTAAGCCTTGGTCATGTTAAGCCTAGGTCATGCCAAGCCTAGGTCATGTTAAGCCTAGGTCATGCCAAGCCTAGGTCATGTTAAGCCGAGGTCATGCCAAGCCTAGGTCATGTTAATCCCAAGTCGTGCCAAGCCTAGGTCATGCGAAGCCTAGGTCATGTCAAGCCTAGGTCACACCTTTGAACCTCTTACACCAAGGACCATCTTGGAACCACTTGAGTTGACCTCCACCATCACCTAGGCATATTGGTCGAGATGTCATCATCTAGGCCGACGTGTGCATCACCTAGGCCGAGATGTGCATCATCTAGGCCGAGATGTTATCATCTAGGCGTCCTAGATCTTTGATCCTTGCACCTAGTGATCTTGTTCCTGGACTGGTATGACCTAGACCGAGGTGTGGCACATCTAGGCCGAGGTGTGGCACAGCTAGGTCAAGTGCTATCCTTCATAGCCGAGATCATTGAGACCTTACTTGCCGAAGCCTATGTCCTAATCCGAGATCATTACCTGCCGGACTGCCCATGTCATCTTACTTGTTGTACACACTTTGTCATATCCTTGTCTTGTCACTCAGGCACCTTTTTGAGGAGATCCAATCCGGTGATGCAACGTGTCCTAGTAGAGGGTTAAGTCTACTGGCAGTAGAGAAACCCACATCACTTTGTCATATCTTTTCCTTTTTAGAGAGAGAAGCTCTATGAAGAGGAAGAGAAGTTCTTAGAGTGAGAGAGTTAGATTGCAAGCTTGAACTTCACACCTTGAACCGTTAGATCCATGTTTTGAGGTTAGATTCTTGATCTACTCTTGTTATTCTTTATGTTGATCCAATCACATTGCATGATCTAGCATCATTCATGAGCCATGCATTGATTTAAAGTTTGGTTTTAGAAAGAGAAAATGATGTTCTTGTGTTCTTCATGAAAAATCATGTTTTGATCTGAAAGTTTGTATCAAAATCCATGTTTTTGTGTTTGTTTTCATAAAATCTTCAAGTATGGGTACCCAGGTCCATGTTTTCGAACTCATCTGATGAAATCTCAGATTTTGAATAAAGAAGTTATGATTTTAGCATTCATGTTCTTCATGTTCATCAAGAGGGAAACCCAGATTTCCAGACCTCATTTCCCTAGGTGTGGTCACTGAAACCACTCTTGCCTAGATCTCAAACCTAGGCCAAGCATCGTATCTCACCTTGGCCTACCTTGCATGATCACTTGCACCTTAGCCTATCTTGCATGCACACCTAGGCTAACCACTGCACACCTAGGCCGACCATGGTACACCCTTGCCGGCACCTTATAACACCTCGGCAGGCAGCTGCACACCGAAGCCTAGGTAACCACACCTCAGCCAAGAGGTGTGGGACCTCGGCCAAGACCTCCTGAGTTCACCCAGCTAGGTCATTTTTGCCTAGATCATTTCTGTGCATCCATTCCAAGACCTGGTTGGTACCCAACATGCTTTTCCAAGAAGAAAAAGAGTATTTTGACTTCCAGTACATGTTTTACTTTGTCTTGACTT